ACGACGGGACTAAGCGGAATCAAGGAACCGGGAGCCATCCAGCGACCTGGATGCAAAGATGGGTTCAGCTTCCACGGGATTGGTGCCACCTGGATCTTGTCCCAAAGGGCCAGCAGCAGCTGGATAGCCTCGCATTGCGATGCGGGGAAGGGGATGCCGAGCGAGCTCAAGGCATGCCGCCCACTCAGTGTGAGGGCCAGGTGCTCCCACTGACTGGCTAGGTGCATGTTGATGAGTTCCTGGAAGGTGTTGTTTACACTTAGCTGCCGGAGCTTGGCGTTCGACGCGTACGGCGGCACCCCCAGTGCCAGCTAGTACCCCTTGCGAATAATCACGTCTATCTTGCCCTTACCTCTCGACAGCAGGTTGAGATACGGATTTGCGCAGGCGATGTGGCTCACGACGAGTGGTTGGGTCAGCCGGATCAGGTCCGACTCCTCGAGCCTGTGTCTGTGATTCGTTATCCTTCTCGCCATGCGCATGACTTGCGTGGTTGTCTTGACGAGTCGGTCGACCGTGTACTTGGCTCCGCCGTCCCGCTGGAGGTGAAGGCCCCAGGATCCGAACCCGCTTCACCACCGGCACGGGGGTACCATCCTTTAACGTGAGGCGGATGTCCGCCTTCTTCTTCGGGAATTGGCTTGCCCGCGCGGAGGAGCAACAGCTGAGACTTATCGGGGGCGCGCTGGAGGTTGCCGGCCTCAAGGTAGTTCTGCACCGTCTCGATGACTTCTTCGAGGAAGTCTTGCCTCCCGCTGTCCGATCCCGACGTAGCCCGAATCGTCAGGTCGTCCACGTAGAGTGGCATAGAGTGTATGCTTCATCCGGGGAATCCGTTCCAGTAGAGGAGGCGGCTTGCACATCGCCAGGTAACAAGGTGGGTGACAGGACCGAGCCTTGCCGGTTGCCCTTGATCGGTATCGGGATGGTGCTTGTGCGGATGGACTCGACTCCGATGGTGGCCATCCAGTTGCTCAGGAAGTCCCGCACATAATCATACATCCGGGGCCCGCACCCAGTTGAGGCCAAGTTCTCGAACACCAGCGTGTGACTGACGTTGTCAAAGGCGCCCTTTATATCCAGGGCCAGGACCGCCCGTGTTGTCGTACAGGAGATTCTGTCAAGGATATCCTCCTTGGTCTGAAGCAGGACATCCTGCGTGGAGGTGTGACCAGAACCCGAAAATGGTGTTCATGGTGGCATTGAGTTCATACAGGATGGCCCCCTCAAATATCGCTGTAAACAGCTCATCAGGGCATGGGCATTTAAAAAACTGAAATGGAGTGTCCAGGTCTGTGACGCTCGGCGGTATACCTGATAACCTCTATTTCTTTTGGATCCTTTTCAAGGGAGTATATTTTCCACTTCGGGCCACTTTTCTTGTTTCTGGCACTTACTACTGCAGGAACTGTTTCACCCTCACTTTCTTCTTTGCTTTCGCAGCACTCATTTGATGTTAATGTGGAAGGGGATTGGCCGGATTCCACTCTTCGTTCCTACGTAAAATGTGCTGGCGTCCAATACCTGCCACAGAAAGGGTACTTAAGATTCCAAAAATGACTAAGAGTGTGTAAACATATGATGCCAGCATTTCTTTTTTCTTTTTATTTCCAATGAGCAACATTATATTATGCCAAAACTCTCCCTAAGTGCACACTGCATTTCACAGCGCGCTAAACTCTGCCGGAAAAATCGGCACCTGCACGCAAAGGGGCGTCGTTTCCTCAGCAGTGTATTTTACCTTGTGAAATTTTAAGGCGCTCCTTTCTTTTGCAGCTAGAACATCCTTAAAAATACTAAAAATGCGTTCGCCACGGACGACCGAGTCTTCCGCCGGGAAACGCTGTCGTTTGCATACGATACGCCTTGAAATTTTCACCCCATGGTCGATCAGACGCCGATTTTTCCAGTTGCTTTCCCATACCTTGAGCCACCCAGAAACACCGCGGGCGCCCGTAAATTAAAAAAAAAAGAAAAGAATGGAACGGCATTGAGTGTTTTGTTTACTTACCGACTTTGTGCGTGGACCGCGCCACGTTGCGCTGCCTGACGCACCCGCGTTTTGGAACGAATTCAGTTGACAGTTCCCTCCGAAGATGAAGCCACTGAAGCCACGGCGGTAATCGGACTGGTAGGCTGTTCCCTTTCGAACGGGCGGAAGAAGACTACGAAGAATTCGGCAGCGAACGGGCGGAAACTCGATTACGTACAGCTTCAGTAGTTGACGCTTTGTTTTCTCGATTGCGTTCGCGGCGTTCACCGTGGACTCGCGCACTCGGCCGTAGCCGAACGGCCGAACCAGCTGGACGGCTGCCGGCGCGCGTACCGACAGCATCGCCATAGCAACCACGCCGCGAGTGTGGTTGCCAGACAGAATTCACACGATTTTTTTTTCCTCGTCACTCACGTTGAGTTACTAGAAGTTAGGCGCGTATCATTATAATACATTATGCTGTAAGAAGTTATTAAGGGATATGTGTACCTACCTAAGACAAATGCAGAAAAAATATTATTGAAAAATAAAATTGGCGTAATCTTTTCATATCTTGCTTAAGACTAGCGTGGTCACTGGGCTAACCGATGCGCGAAATAGGAGGGCATATATACCGCTCGGGGCACTTGTTGGTTTGTATAAGTAGGATGTACGTACTATTTGTTGTGTGTTGTGCAATTGATCGGTGCTTGTTCCCTGTGTGTATGTACAGTGTTGTGCGTATGTCCAGGTCGTGAATAGATGTAACCGCGCGGCGGGCAGCGAAAAACAAACTGCTGTTTTCTTTTTTCAAATGTTTCACTTTTTTTTTTCGTCGCTAGATGGCGGTTGTCGCCGCCCAATTTGAAAAGTGTGGCGGTTGGTGATCTATAACTATTAGAGGGCTGGATGCCATTAGTCCATCCGTCATGTTGATCGCTCCGAGTTGTTCGGTTCCGCTGGTAGCTGTGTCGCCGTGTTATGCTGCCTGATTGCAACAAAAGGAGGTTAGGCGGCTTCCCCAGCGCGTGTTCTAGGTGCTGAATGCCGCTGTTCACGCACAAACGTTCATGAGTGGATAACGCACGTAACAGAGGTGAGCACAGGCAATAGTTAATCGAGAGCCGCGCGAGTGCGATACCTCCTACCCGCTGTCGACAGAGGGTGTCGGAGCGATTCGTTGTCGACTTGTCGTCCACGGCAAGTAGGCGTTTTGTTCAATAAAGCCAGCCTGCCAGTGTTTTGTAAAGCTATCCCTTCTTTATAAGCGCTTCTGATGCGATGAAAATGCGACCGGCTTTGAGCAGGCCGAGCGAGACTTCGGCGACAGTCTCGGCTGTTCAGTCTCCAGCGGTTTCGGCCTTACTCGTAATATTTGCGGTGTTGGCGCTTGGACATAGGGATGTCTGGAAAGTTTTTTGCGCCTACAGATGACACCAAACGAGCGTGCGAGCCGTATGCTCTTGCTCCGGCGAGAAGCCGCGTACGGCTCGCCAGGCTCGTATCGCCTGTCGCATACTGGCCGCCATATTGTTTTTAGGGTGTTAGCAGTTAACACGATTTTCACCACCTCCGGCGGCTAACACCCTTACACGAATAAAGGCGTTAGCCAGAGGACGAGCCATTTACACGAATAAGGGTGTAAAAATTTTAAGTGTGTACAGTCCCAGTCAAAGCGTTTTGACGAGAAGGCATGTTTGTGTCTAGTTTCTTTCAAAATAATGCAGGAATGCACGTCTGGCATGGGGACTTCTGCCCACGGCCCCAGACCGGACGTTTGCCTGACGCGCCACCACCGCGCCGTGACGTCACAGAGTTGAGTTCGTGTATACACAAACTCATTTCTGTTACGTCACGGCGCGGTTGTGGCGCGTCGGACGCACTTCCAGTCCGGGGCTGTGGGCGGAAGTGCCCATCTGAGACGTGTATTCCTGCGTTGTTTTGAAAGCAACCGGACAAAAACCTGCCTTCTTGTCCAAATGCTGCGACTGGGGCTGTACCAAAAGGGTTGAGAAAGGTTTGAAGGTCAGTTGCTTGGGCGGGAAGCTTTTTGGGTGTAATTCACGGATACTTCTGGCCATCAGATTTATTTGTTTTGTTCCAAAATGAATGCCGGAAAACCGTCAAGTTGTACGGACCACCTGCGAACTGCGTTCAGTGCGTCTTCAAGTTTAAACGGTCGCCTGATCGTTCGAACTGTCGTCTGCTCTTTCAAACGTTTCTGTTTGTCGTCTGCCCTTTTAGAGGACACCGGCCCGTAGACCAAACGTGGGCCCGGCACTTGCGATAAGAAGTAAGTGCAGGCCTCAAAAGACTTACGTTTGAAGGTTGGTAAGCAGGCTCGATGTAAACAGTAGATACGAGGAGATGTTGATCATTGTTACCAGTGGCCATCACCGACTTGTTAGGCCTGATTCACTTGGTTAGATTCTGCTTGCGATTTTCAGTATTGACGTCGACCATCTCAGCTACGGTTCACGCTTTTGCAGTCAGAGCGACGTCGCTATTGAAAATTGCGAGTGAAATCTCATCATGTGAATCAGGCTCTAGCTATTCTGCGGCGTCCACGCGGAATGAATCGCCGCATGTCAGATTATTCACGCGAAGTTTTGCGGGGTAACAAGCCTCATTAATTTCGCTGACGCCGCTCAAGTAGTCGGACATCGTTAGGAGGACGTAGAATCAACAATTCCAACGCGAAAAAGAGCCCGGGAACTTACACCGACGACGACAACATCGCATTTCAATGGTTTGTTTATGGGCGACGGTGAGCTTCTTGCCCACACCCCCATCGCGCATACGCGGCGCCGGTGGCATCCACTAGGGGCGCTCCGGTTTGTTTGTAAACATGAGTTGGTGTATACCGGTTGTAGTAACTATCGCACTGCTTTTACAGAGCGGGGACCAGGCTTCCGCTTCTGGGCCAGGGTGCAACAGCAGCACCGCCGCTTTATGCGACACCGTGCCAGCAACTACTGCAATTGATGGCCATTTTGAACCGCACTTGGAGCCGCCCATCTGCCACATATGTATGTGTGTGGTAACGAGAGGTATGTAGTGACTTGGTTCACCTTATCGTGTAATGACAGAATAGCTTTATCAGTCTCTCTCTCTCTCTCTTTGTGCAATGTTATTCGAGTCTATATCTGAAATGTAATGTTTTTTGGTGTGCCAGGTACACCGACACTGTCTGTGGACAAAGCTGTGCAAGCCTTCGAGGAGCTTTGTCAGACCTCGACTGAAAATCCGGCACTGCCAACATCTTCCGGTGAGTAGCTGTGGTGGCTTAAGAATATAGTGCTATCTATGTAATACAATTGTGACGAGAGTTTTAATAGTATACATAACATAGATGCATTATGTCCGTGTTTCCCCGAGTTTATTTTTGTCAAATTTGGAAAGTGTTATTTGGACTTCATTCTTCTATCAAAACAAATTTTAATAGTGTGAAATATTTACAATGAGCTCATCTATGCATTTCAAAACAAGCAAGTGTGCTTGTATTTACTACAAGCTTGCTGTAATAAATACAAGTGCACATGTTTGTATATGCATGAAAGTAAATGTCGCCTCGCTGTTGTAGGTGCCACAGAAATGTGCCGTGAAAGCGCAGGTTGAACAACATAGTAGTATAGCAACTTCAGCTTCACGCACCCCCATTCAAGTCACTTTACCCGCACCCACTGATGGAACTATGCTGTCCATGGTGACTATGGTCTGAACTTGAGACTGGAACAACCGCTAGCACCGTTAGACGTACAGCCTTATTTCTGCCGTGACCTAGAAATACATTGCCTTTTTCTCTGCAAAAAACAGACACCCACCGTCTTTCTCAGGACCGACGACCCTTCGCACTGATCCAACCTGATCTTTATTGCGCGCTTTTTTCTTTTCCCCGGTCGGTGTGACCTTCAAAATCCTATTTTTTTCGGATGAATTCGAATTGACAAAAGTTTTACAGGCAAATGGTTTTCGGATTTCATCGGCTTTATTTGAAAACACAGAACCACCGTTATATCATAACCATGGTGTTGAACCGCCGATTTTGTGTTTTGTTGTGGTTTGGTCTCGGTTCCAGCATGCCTGCTAGATATTAGTTTGGTTACTGCCGCTACCAAGCATGAACTGGTTCCAACCAGTTCATAACACTACCTTTGACTGTGGCCATTCATGCATTTCCCTCATCTTTCGTTGAGCCTGGGCTATTTGCAGTTGCATGGCAGAAAGGTGGAGACGTAATGTTTTTATTGCGTCAAAATAAACTTGGAAGGGTGAGAGTGACGGATATATATTTTTGCTCATCAATTGTAAAAACTGCACTGCATCACAAGTCATGTCATGCACACTGTTACTGTGCATGTTAAGCAGTTTTGACACCATAATGTTTGCTCTGGCATTCAATCTTTTCCAGGCATGGTTGGCCAAAGCCCTTTGGGGAGCGAGCCAGCTGTTCCCGGAAGTCCCCAACAAGCCCAAGAGAATTCTGCAGACGTTGAGCAAGAATTGCGCCAGTGGTGCTCTACGCCTACAGAGGACAAGACGCCAAGCCCCTTGTCGTTGGAGCGGGATGCCACTCCTGAACCCTCAGAACCTGGGGCATCGCCTTCGGACACCAGTTACACAGAGGCCGCCTTCCTGGACTCCGATGAGGATATCTGCCCTGAGCCAGATCTGTTGGACGAGAGTTACAGGCCGGATAACTCTTTCAACTCCGATGATGAACCGGATTCCGACACCAGCATCTGGTCCAACGACTCTGTGCACTCGGACGGTGCAACAGATGTCGAGTATGTGTCCACTGTAATTTTTCAGAAACCAGAACTCCATTTTATGAATAGGATTAAGCTAGGTCTACCAATCTGGAAAACTTGTAATTATCTGTGGCTTTTCTTCACCTGCAAAAGTTAGACAAATATAAGGGAAACAGTTAAAAGGTTGGCTATATCAGGAGAAATGACAAATGGAAGTGGCACGGCAGTAATAACGAAGCTTTACAGTCGCACATCGGCACAGCTGCACCCAATAATGTTCCCTGAAACATCATTAGATAGTGCAAGCCATTACCTAATTAAATGAATAATTAATTAATTTATTATACTACCAGTTCCTAAATGAAACTTTAGTATGGTGGTTACATGGGTGTTTCTTATCATACATACAGTTTATGGTGCAGTGAAGGAGCCTTAGAAGTACATCTTATAAAAAGCACGACGATCACACTTGGTTATTCGGACCAGGTTGAAATAACGGCCAGGAAATTTAATAGAGATAGTCTGGGAGAACCTGGCAAGGTCAATGAATATGAAAGGAGGAGCTTGTTAGATATCCCGGTTTTGTGCAAAGAACTGTGAGAGATGATGGCAGAATAGAAAAAATTAGAAGCGTTAAAAAAGAACTGTTTTTGAAATTTCCACACTATAATCTTTTGGTTTATTCTTTTTCTTTTTTTAACAGTGAAGGAGGGTGCAGCACGTCTTCAGCAGCAGTGGACCCGGTAAAGGAGAGGAAGTACCTGGTGACTGCATCACAGCTGCTGCTGCTGTTTTCGGTTTGCATCAAATGCCTGGCTCCGACACGGACGAAGCTGACACATCGAGGGACCCTTGTGCACGCCGTCATCACGTGTGCACGAGGGCACAAGACTGTGTGGGAGAACCAGCCCAGAATCAACAGCAAGGCACTCCTCAACATCCTGCTGCCTGCTGCCATCACGTACTCTGGAGCCAGCCCAACGCGCGTTCTTCGCCTCCTGGGATCTATAGGCGTGCAAGTCTTGAAGAAGACTCAGTTCTTCCGGGTGCAGAGCTCTTTGGTCTTTCCTGCTGCTACAAAGGTGAGCAGAAGTGACTACAAGATTGTCCGTTCATTAAACATGTTCACTGATTGAGCCTGACACTGAGTTTTCTTGTTTCAAAGACCTGGGAAGCTGAACAGGAGTCTCTCCTGACAGCCACGAAAGACAAGCTCCACCTTGCAGGCGATGGGCGTGCTGACTCGCCTGGCTACTCTGCCAAGTATGGGACGTATACACTGCTTGACACCCGCATCAACAAGATCATGCACTACGAGGTTCTTCAGGTAAGAAGTGGCTAAATATAAGATGACCTCAATGCATCACATGGATCAGGTATGCATTTTACGGCACCTTTTTCTACCCTAGTCGACAGAAGTCAAGTCGAGCAACCACATGGAGACGGAGGGCCTGAAACGTTCTCTGGACTTCCTCCTGAGCATGGGGCTGTCTGTGTATGTTCTTGTGACCGACCGGCACTTTGGGGTGAATGCCCTGATGAGAGACAGGTACCCCGACACCAAGCACCGGTTCGACGCATGGCATGTCGCAAAAGGTAATAGTATTGATAACTCCAATACCCCTGTACATGGGCCGTTTTAACAATCATTGAGTCAAGGATCATGGACATCTCACTGAGCTCAACTAAGTTGCCTGGTGCTACGCGGTACATGGGCCTAATGACCCGAGTTCTGATGCACGTCACGTGACCCACATGATAGAAAAAAAAGTATTGAGGATAATTGCGTGTAACATGTTTCACAAAACACACACAAAAAAAAGTTTAACTTGACATATACTGTAAACAACTTAAATTTCACGAATTGCCCATATTGAGATCCCACCATGTCGCAAAAATGAAAACCCACAAATTATTCCAAAAATTCAGCTTTGACCTAAATCGTAAAATATTGAGCCTGCTAAAAATAAGTCGTTCAGAGTGATAGATTTTAGTTTATTTTGAGAACAAAGAAAACTAAAATTGGAATATTTCACAGAAATTTAAAGCAAGAGTGACAACGAAAGTCTTACTGCCACCGACATCACAATGGCCGCACTTCCTCGACGTTTCGCAATAGTTTTAGTGGTAGCTCTGACTTCGTATCATACCTCTTCTGATAATATTTGCTGCTATGATAATTTTTAGATACCTTCTTCTGCAATAGTAAATGCTTCGCTAGCACTGGCTATCAGTGGTGATGTGGTGAATGCTGCCATCTTTAGCTCTGTTGGGGTGAACCCCCATCAGTTAACTGAGGTAGGCGAGCTCAGTTGAATTCAATGATCGTTAGCGGCTTGATGGTAGATGGCACTGCTGTGTAACACCGCCCGATCACGATTGAGTTAATGATCGCTGGCTCAATGAACTATAGTGCAACATGCTTTGTTGTCAAGATACACGTGGCATTATTCAAACGTCATATGGTATACTAAAGTTGACGATGTTGTCCATGCTGCACCAGTATCTAGATGCAATTTTACTATAGCTTCATATATTTAGTGTATCTAATATCAAAACTTGTTTTCCAAACTAGACTGGTGCTGAGCTAATAATCATGGAGGCTTTCTAATTTATAGGCATTGGGAGCAAGATGGCCTCTGCAGGCAAGACAAAGAAGAACAGCATCTTGAATGCATGGGTGAAGACTGTACGTGGACACGTCTACTGGTGTGCACAGACCAGCAGTGACAATGGCGCGCTGGTGCTCGCAAAATGGGTGTCCGTAATGCGACACGTGAGCAACGTCCATCAGCACCCCAGCCCCCTGTACCCTGCGTGCACCCATGGCCCAATCGAAGAGCGCTGGTGGCTTCAGGAAGGTAAAAAAGATTCATTCTTTAAACATTCATAACATTCTTTTCACTCCAGTTGTCGGCGAAGCTTTCATAATAAGGACAGACTTCCTTTGGCTGCTCTGGCCAGTCTACAATCAAATAGCACAAGGAGGAATCGGAGATGAATGCTAGTGTTTCCAGATGGGGGGTCAGCATACCAGATTGTGTTTCGGATAACTCGTATGCTCCCCCCCCCCCCCCCTTTTCCGCTCTGCATTTCACACCTGCGGAATTCAAAAGGAGGGTCAGGATATCCCCCCCCCTTCTAGACCTGCCGATGGGAGGACTCCATCTCATATCCAGCTCATAGTACTGAGCGGACATTTCAATTGCATCAAGAGGCTTAAACTGCATGTTTCTAGCCTTATATTTTAAGAAAAACACTCCACTTTTGAGGTCATGAAAAGACACAGAATGAGGAAGTGAAGACCGACTTGTAACATGCAAAAGACGCATAAAAAGTAAAATTGCAGATTATATGAAAATTATTTATGCAGAATTACTGAGCAGAGATCTAGCTTCTGCAGAGATGGATAAAAAATAAAATGGCAGTTGCATCACGTATACAACACAAAAAAGTGATTTGTGGACAGGCTGCAATGGGCACTGGCTTTGCTGTTTAACCTTTTGGGTGCCACCAGGAGTATACTCGGCTGCGCTCTGGCTTACCTGCTCAGTCACTATCGATATAAACTCAGCACTTACAAGGGTCAGGGTGTCTAGAGACCGGCAAAACCGGGAATTGTCAGGGGAAATTTAATTACCAGGAAAAATCGGGGGACTGTCAGGGATATTGCCAAAGAGCGAGCCGAGTCAGGGAAAATGTGCCGGAAACGCTATCGAGTGCCCTGAGCAAAGACTTGAAAACCTGTGGGCAGAAAAATAGGTAATAAATTCTGCTTGGAGCGGAGCCCGCGGGCCCTGCTCAATTGATGTAGAGTGTAATACCCGATGCAAAGGGAACCGCCGACAAATCCAGTAAAAGCCTTGGATTGGATTGAGGGCGCGACACTAGACTAGATCCAGTTAGAGCTACTAGATTTATTATTATTAACAAATGGGAAAGCTGCAGACCCCAATACAATCCAAGCCAAAAGTATCCGAAAGTGTGCATCTGGCGGCTATGCCATGCTGCCATTCGTAATTATTAACATGTCTGGTTCAGCGTCATGTTTTTATTGTGTTTCTGGAAGTGGCTTCTTCAGTGACTATGTCAGGGGGCAAGAAAGTGCTCATTTAATCCGGACAGGACGAACTCAAATATTTCGGAATATGCAAGTTGGGTTCAGCCCGTGCGAAAGTATTGTTACAGTTCTGAATGCTCAATGTCTTGTGTTGTAATGATCTGATATATTTAACCACCTCTACAATGGTCAGGGACCGTTGTAGAGTTGTAATAACTTGCTAGACACCCTGAGGGTTATTTCGGTACTTTCTCTTATCGCAGGGACCGAGCCATACGTGGCTCTCGAAAAGATCGTCATGTCCAAGCAACTACTCAAGGACATTCCAAGGGTGTCTGGAGACGGTCAGACCTATCGCCTAGAGTCGTTCCACAGCATGCTGCTCCGGTTTACTCCGAAATCCAGTCATTTCAGTTTTGAAGGCATGGTGGCACGGTAAGCAGGCATCCTGATATATGCTAGTGATATTTGTTTATTTATGAGCCTTTTCTGAAATTTCTACTGTGCACCACTCACGCAGAAAATTCTGGGGATGCACTTATGTACACTAGCAGATGAGCGAGTGCACATACTGTTTTTAGGAGCGAGGCCCTACGTCAATTTGTACAATCTTTATCTCCCTCGTCTTTAACGAGCTTCTCATTGTTACCGTAAGTCGAAGGGAAGCCATTTTTCATACATACTTGTGTCCGCACAATGGTGGCAAATTGCAGCGCTCCTTGAACTGTAAACGACTTAATTTTCGCGAAGGCCTAATTTTTGTGAATCGCCTACAATTTGCGAAAAATATGTCCCGCAAACAATTTTGGTAGAATGTAAGCACATAAGAATCTACATTGAGATCCCATTGTGTCGCAAAAATTAGAACCTGCGAATTATTACAAAGCTTGAGCTTCGACCCAAATCGCGAAATATTGAGACCGCGAAAAATAAGTCGTTTACAGTAAATGAGAAGTGTCGACTTAATTTTGATCACAATAATAGTGAGTCAATCAATGAGAATAGGATGGGTTGCTAGTGTGTGAAACGATGCAGGGCCATGTTCCCGAGGATGGTCTGCTAGCATACGACAGGTTGCCTGCCAGTGTGGATACGGTTACTAGCATGTGCTGTGCAGTGTGAAAATTTCTGAAAAGTTCTAATATGAAATATGCTTGGGGCATGTTTACAGTCTTTCCTCCCCTTATATGCGGCCCTCACAGGACTGCCGTCGCGGTGCTCCACTACAATGAGAACAGCAACCGTGCGCAGGCCACAACGAAGGACGAAAAAAAGCGAAGTTGTCTGAAGTTTCCCAAGTCACGGAAAGGCGAATGGGTCCTCAGCCCCATCATGGAGACTGCGTCGTACGGTAAACACAGACACTTTTATTCAGACATTGGCTGCAGCTTGACTATCACACTTTCTTACTCAGACTACGTCCAGAGGCTCCTCAATTCCTGCCTGGAGTTGGCCAAGGCTTCCCGGACCTACCAGCAGGCTGTGGCTGCGAACGGGCCGCGTCCTCGTCGACCACCTCTGTGCAGCGTTGCACAAAGGCCAGACAAGGAAGCAGCGGTGTTGGCCCACAGGACCCGGTTCGATCAAGCATAGTGGAAGCCCGTGTATGTGGTCGATGGGAATTCTTTTCTTATCCTGGCCACCACACAGCACGGGAGCCTGACGCGGCGAAACCTGCCCAGTCGTCCCCAAATCCACCAGACGAACTGGCTGTATGCCGTGTACCTGTACCGTCTGAGAAAGTAACAGAAGAATTGGTAAGAGTCTTAGAAAGACTTCATCTGCTACACTTTTACTGTGAACTTGGGGACCCTTTTGCCGCATCTCTATAGGAAAAGGCTTTTCGAAACCTGGAAAGCCCATGATATCTAGACATTTCTAGAAATTTCATGCGTGAAAACCTTTGCCGCTACTTCTGGTGTGCTTTTATAGAGAAGAAATTCACTACTGCCTGTATGGGTGTTTCCTCGTTCTTGAGTGATTGACTGGACAGACAATTTTAAAATTCAATTAAATCTTTTAACTCGTTCATTCGCCTGTGGACTGCAAATTGCAGACTGATGATGAGAAGTCCCTCGACCTGAGGAACTCTCAGGTTGTGCGGGACCTGACCAGTAAGCCATGGTCCAAGGCAGTAATGTTTGGATGTCCCTCTCACCTCAATGTTGTTATTAGGAAGTCGCAGACAATCTCTGCTGTCACTTGACTACAGAAAGCAACCCCAGGCTACTTACTGAACTAGTTTGTTGCAAAACGGTAATGGTGAGAGAAGTTTGTAGAATAGTTCCACAGTGTCTGTTCCAAGCTGTTTCCATGCGCTTATTGGAAAAAGCACTGGTTGTAGAGGTGATCCTTCTTTCGCTGCTTACTTGTCGGTTGTCTGACATGCGTGACAGTATTTGGACAAGCATTGGCTTCGCTATCCATTCTGGGCCACCACAGAAGCATTCACATAGTTGTATTTTTTTGGTTCACACCATTCGTCTGAGTGAAGCAGAAGGAACCAGCAGTTTTGCGTATAGCAGTAAGCCATATACAGAGGAAAGTTCTTTTCGTATCTTGTAGTGGGAGACAGTGCTGATTCCCATAGGTATTTGAGACCCCAACCCATGTTGACACACTATCACCCGAGGTAAATCGGGGTCTTGTTCTTTCTCTTTCTGTACCTCTTCTTGGTCAATTCAGCAGAGACTGCACACAGGGCAAGTGAATTTTCTTTTTTCGACGTATGACTTCGTGCAATCTGAGGAATTAAATGCAGGAAGACGAGAAAGCTCGACTGCCACAACATTCTCATTGCCCTTTTGGTGATCTTGAGGAGACGCATGGCCACCCGGCAATTCTTATCGGTTGTCGACCGTTTCCCTAAATACAGAGTAGTGTAACCAGAGCCTGGTGGTCCATCCTGAGCATGAAATGGTGACCGAAGAGGAAAACATGATGCTTCTCGCAGGCCCAGAGGCACGCCTATTCCTCTAACTCTGCAGAGCGGTTGCACTGGGCGCTGGAAAGCAATCGCGATGTGAACAGGATAGTGCGAATTCCATCTGGATGTTTTGCTGTAGCACTGTGCCTAATCCATAATCCGATGAATCTTTTCTGACGATTGTAGAATTGTAATTGGCGAATTAAAAAAAAAACTGACAAGTAAATTTCTCTCCAACCTGTGACGATAGCAGGCAGTGTCACGTCGAAAACTAAATGGAACAGTTTCGAATCGTGTTTTGACTGATGCAAATGCCACCTCTTGTGCTTTTTGCCATTATAAGGGGACATCTTTCCGCAGATGCACATGCAAGGGCCTCACGTGGTTGCAAAGTTAGGTATGAATTTGAAACGGTATGTAAGCAGGTCAAGCAAAGACCGGTTATGATGTCATGTCTCTTTGAGTAGAAGCTTGCATGGTGGCTTGAACATTATCATGGCATGGCTTAATTCCCTGAGGTGTCAACTTATGTCCAAGAAATTGAAGTTGCTGCACTGAAAAATGCATTTGTTTTTGTTCGGTTTCCAACCTGCGTCCTGTAGGCGGGGTAAGCCTTGTCTTAGGCGGGCATCATGCTCTTCAGTTGTGCAACTGAAGTTGAGCACATCATCCTGGATAGATTGACAATGGTGCCTGTTGTGTCCCAAAGAATACAGTTCTTTATATTTTGAAAAGCCGGAGCAGTGGAAGCCAGCCCAAAACATACTGTGAACAGGAAGAGACTTTCATGAGTCACGAACGCGATGAGGTCCCCGCTCTCCTCTATCAGGTTCAGCTAGTGGTACGCTGACGAGAGGTCCCACTGGTTGAAGATGTGGGTGCCAGAAAGCTGGTGAAGGAGCTCGTTTGGACACAGAAGAGGACGTGAATTGAGAACAACAGAGGTGTTTGATTTGCGGAAGTGGTCTGTGATGCATTATTGCGCTCGATCACCCAGGAGTGCTCCAACTTTGCCGGCTCTACAGGAACTTTGTCATGCACTGCAAAAGTTATCCTTCATAGATTCTGTTGCACCAGACTGATGGACACTTCGTCTTCACCTTGTGAACATACCCAATGGCGTGGCCCATACCTGAGAACAGCTGGAGGAAACCTTTGACGGCCTCTGGAAGGTCGTTTGCCGAATTGATAGTCACCTGTCATCCGCAGGAGATGAAAAGTCCAGTTGAATTTCCAACCCTTGTAAAGCATTTATAGTCCCATTACGGCTGTCTTGTTCGGACGATGTGGAATGTGCAATCGCCATTACTTTGCGCCAACTGTACTGGTGAGCTGGCTTTTTCCAAAATGTTTGGAATAGCAATGTTTTCTTACGGAGTAGCCAATGAATGCAGTACTTGTAGGTTGCAACTTACAAGAATGGAAGCATCTTCTGTAGACGCTTTCCAGAAGGATTGAAACCGAGGGTCTTGTGTCTACTAGGAGTTTGATAAAAAGGAACGCAAGTATCCTGCATGTGGTACAGTTTGCTAATATCCGAGTTCTATATTTCAGTTTGTTCTATGCTTGGTACTTGTGATCCTGTCAAAACTGTTTGCTTGCAAACAAAGGCAAAATGTCCAATCTTTCATTTTCTGCATGCTTGATTCCTTGCAGGACGTTTAGGGTAGTCTGCCATGTGGCACATTGAACCAGATCTGCAGTAAATGCTGGACGACCTTTGATTGGGTGTTTTGCCCCTAACTATTGGTTTCTTTTGGGCTTGAATCTTTGCCACTTGAAAACTGAGTCCCGCATCTTTGGTAAAAACTTTGGCCTCCTTCATCGCCCGCTGAACTTTTTAGGTGATGGCAAGAGCTGATTCGAGTGGTAGCTCAAGCTCTAGTAGTGGGCGGTTTCATACTTCGGCATGAATTGTCTTATTGACAAGTTGATTGCAGATTATTTCATCTGTTATTGTCCCAAACCAGCAGTTTGTCGCAAGGCCCCGGAGAACGTGACACACTCTTGTACTGTTTTGGCCGGTCATCCACGTGTGCAACGAAAAATAAATCTTTCCAATGTTTTACTGTCAAGAATTTTTGTAACTCTCTTGCCACTGCATCATAGGCTCTGGAAATGGGCGATGCAGGTCTGCGCGATTCGGAGGTAGCTCCTGCAGTACTTGCACTTAGATGAGTGGTAGCAGTGGACAAGGCAGAATCATCCGGCAGTTTGCAGTAGGTCCGCTGACTCTCAACTTCAAGTGAGCTAAATAGAATGGCAGTTCTGCCATTATCTAATGTCGACCCATTGGAAGGGATCGTGTACTGGCGTACCATTCCTCCATGAAATCGCAGGCTCGCCTGGGTATGGTAGGAAAGACGGGTGAATCAACCTTTATAATCGAGTTGAAGCTGTCGATTGTGACAATTGTTATGTATAGGGACTGTCTATGCAAGTTTAACAGAAGGCAAGCTGTTCCCATTCAGAGCTCAGTTCGTTCATTCTTATTCATTGTCTTCTTCGGCTCA